ATGATTCACTTAACAACTGTGGTGATTTGCTTAACAACCATGGCAAAAACAGGTGCAAATCACTTAACAATAGCCTTACTTAGCAATGGAAATTCTGACTACATTAAGCTGAGGATTACCTGTATATGGAAATAGATACCTGCAGGGTATGGTCTCTCTAAGTACCCATAATAATTTATGACCCACATCTTAAGACAATGTAAAGAAAGGCTGACATAATTCTGCTTTTCAAAAATGGGCAAATACCGCCCACAGCCCATCGCAATGTCTTATTTTTCATACTCCTGGTACTAATGCTGAAGGTTATGACTAATTCTGAGTCACCTTTTCTGACAAGCACCAAACTCTGTTTTCATTATGGAATTCAGCTGCCAGCCTGCTGTTTTCTGCACTTCATTTTCATTTGTTGGCAGGCCTTGTTTCAAAGCATAGCGTGCAAAATGATTTCTGCTGTGAAGCCTCTGCCCCTGCCCTTATCTAGGGAAAAAACTCCTTTACAAGTTCATTGCCTTCAGCTCCGTCTTCCCAGAGTTCACACGCTACACTAATCCATAATGTGATTCGTTTCCTTTTTGCCTTTACTGCGTTGCTTGTTTCCACCTTTGGTGATTGGTAAACCGCAGTTAGTGAATAGATATTCTGGTTTGTCATTTTATTCAAAACACCAAGATCTGACATGATGTGTTAAAACCCAGCCACCAAATCAGGGTTTTTTGGATGGACAGGCAAGTGCAATTTTCCCATTACAGCATAGAAATGAGAGAAGAAAATTAAGATGTACCAACCATACTTGAATTTATTAAAGGTTTCATATTTATTTTTTGCCAAAGATTTTACGGAGATGATGAGGGCTCTGGGCTATCCCCGGCTTATCTCAATGGAGAATTTTCGGACTCCAAATTTCATGCTGGTTTCAGAAATACTCCTTTGGCTGGTGAAAAGGTTGGTACTCAGCTTTAATTTGAAAACAAATATGAGCAACTGCACTCACAGTCCTTGTGAAATGCTTGGAGCTTTCTAAAAGAGCTTAAAATTGAAGTTGAAGTATTCTGGAAGATTTCCAGTTTGAAAAAAAAAGGTTGCAACCAAAATACATTCAAAGCTTTTGAAAATATTGATGCTTGATCGTCGGTTTTAACCATCTGTTGTTGCTCTGTGGTAGTTCAAACATATTTCTGAGATTAAAACATCTTACCTTAGTTTGTTTTGCATTTGAAATTAAACATCAGAGGATTTTTCCTCTGATAGATTAAAAAGACTTTGATAAGATACATGGAGTTGGTAAAAAAAAAAGTGGACTTGATTTGTTGTGTATTTTGTAAACAAGACATTTGGTGATACACAACCTAAAATTCCTAGGTTATCTGCAGTTTCAACCTTCAAGGTTTTGGGACAGTGCAGAAGTCCTGCAAAAATTGCTACTTAAATTATAGTTTGCAACAGCACAGAAGAGGGAAACTATTAAATTCACATGGACAATTACATAAACTAAATTAAATTAAATTGAAATTCAGTTAAGTTTATTTTATAGACTGGCCCTGCCCAGTTCTCATCCCATGTTCTTTTTGTGTGTGACATCCATCACACCACGAACTCTGGTGGTGCAGTGGTTAGAATGCAGTATTGCAGGCTAACTCTGCCCACTGCCAGCAGTTCAATGCTGACCTGCTCAAGATTGACTCAGCCTTCCATCCTTCTGAGGTCGGTATAATGACCCAGATTGTAGGGGAGCAATAGGCTGACTGTAAACCGTTTAGAGAGAGCTGTAAAGTACTGTGAAACTGTATGTAAGTCTAAGTACTATTGCTATCACACCACTCAAAATCCAGATGTGGTCCTTAGCCCATAAAAAGTTGTATACTTCGGCCTTGAAGATTAGTCAAAATATTCTGCTATGATTCAGCTTGGGAATTGTTCCAGTAAGAACTCAAAAATATGTCAAAAGAATTAGCTTTCTTTTAGAGAGACTAAGTTTAAAATAGTCTTCAGGTGAATGTGTCCTCCTGCTCTCTGCGGTGATATGGTATTAAAGATTAGTATGAAAGTCTGTAAAATTGTCCCAAGTACAATAGGGATTCTATTGTCCCTAATAGGGATTCATGCCCTATTTTACAAACTTTTTTTGCCATAGTTTTTAGGTGAATCACATGGCCGTTAAGCAAATCCAGCTTCCTTCATTGACTTTGCTTGTTGGAAGCCAGCTGGGAAAGTCATGTGATACCCCCACCCCACCCCCCAAGCTGCTGCCATCTTAGATCTCTAATGATCTAAGTGCTAGAGCCCACTGTAACTACATAGCCAAAAAGGCATTAAGAGTTGCAAACCTAATCCTACGCAGTTTTTTCTCCGGTAGTATTGCACTACTAACTAGAGCATACAAAACATTTGCTAGATCAATTCTCGAATACAGCTCATCTGTCTGGAACCTGCACTGCATATCAGACATTAATACAGTCGAGAGAGTCCAGAGATATTTCACGAGAAGAGTCCTCCACTCCTCTACTCGCAACAGAACACCTTATGCCACCAGACTTGAAATTTGAGGCTTAGACAGCTTAGAACTACGCTGACTTCAGTCCGACCTAAGAGTAGTACATAAACTTTTCTATTGCAATGTCCTACACATCAATGACTACTTCCGCTTCAACCACAACAATACAAGAGCACACAATAGATACAAACTCAAGGTAAACTGCACCAAACTTGATTGCAGGAAATACGACTTCAGCAACAGAGTAGTCTGTTGTAATGACGAGGCAGTCGAGTTGTTTGATCATGAACAACTGAATCATGATGATCTTTATTGGAGTCTAGTCTTGCATTTATACACATTTTTAGTTATCCTCCATCACTGGTTAACTTTGGTTACTGCTTAACTTTCGTTACTGTTTAGCACAGTAATCCATACAATTAATTATCTCTAGTTAAAGTCTAACATATGTTTACTTCCTCTCTCTAATCCTCCTTTAGATTAGTGACTTTGTTTACCTGAGTTGTATTGGCTTGGAAACATTCTTTATCTGAGGTTTGCCATCTGAGATTGGAACATTCCTGCAATTACAATTCTACAGTGGTCAATGTCTGGAATACACTACCCGACTTTGCGGTTTCTTCCCCAAACCCCCAAAACTTTAACCTTAGACTGTCTACTGTTGACACTCGAGGATTACCTGAATTGTTTTCATTGTTTTATATTTTTAACTGTTGAGATGGGCAGATCAAATAAACAAAATATCACAATTTGTTCATAAAAAGAGAGCAATAGCAATAACACTTAGATTTATATACCGCTTCACAGTGCTTTACAGCCCTCTCTAAGTGGTTTACAGAGTCAACCTCTTGCCCCCAACAATCTGGGCCTCATTTTCCCTACCTTGGAAGGATGGAAGGCTGAGTCAACCTTGAGCCGTAGAGAATCGAACCCCTGGAGTGAGCGGTGAATTAGTACTTCAGTACCGCAGTACTGCATTCTAACTACTGCACCACCATGGCTCTTATATATAGCATACAAAGAAAATACAAAAGTAAATAGCAGGGAAGTTAGGGAAGGAAGAAGAGAAGAGAAAAGTGAGGGGAAACAAGGGGAAAACAGAAAAAAAAAAGGCATCGACTTCCCTTTGGTGCAGTAGAATAAGGCATTAACATCAAACCTCAATTTTTTACTTTTACATAATAGTATGAACTAGCCATTTCTATAACAACAAATCTTATCTAACCAGTAAAACCCCAAATACTTAATCCTGTGTCCATTTCCTTTTGCAGATACGAACCTCAGACGGATATCCCTTCCGATGTTGAAACGGAGCAGGACCGGGTTTTTTTCATTAAGACTGTTGCTCAGTTTATGGTGGGTTTAATTTATTTAATGTCCCTGAATCGCCCTGAAAGATCAAATGAGAAATAACAAATTCAGTACCAGAGCGTGCTCCAGTTAATTTTTGAATGAAAACACTTCCGATACAGAGAGAAAAGGGGAGGGAGGGAGAGAGAGAAAGAGAGAGAGAGAGTGGGGAGGGAGAGGTGGGAGTGGGGAGGGGGCGGGGGAGAGAGGGAGAAAAAGAGTTAGATCTGTGGTTTGAAAATTGGATCTCAATTCTCCGGCCGAGGCTGAAGCTGAAGATAAATCCTGAGACTAATAATGCTGAAGACTCTTTTAGTATAAGATGAGTTATATGGAAACAGATGCAACGGATGTGTTGAATTCCTGATGACTTGTCTGCCTGGGGTAGAGATTGCATTCATCATCTCTCAGATGATCTCTCAGGCTGGTAAAGAGTACTGGGCAGAAGGATGCACCATCCTCATTTAATTTGGAAAAAAAGGAGGCCACGTGGTAGGGGCAAAACTGATGTGCCAATTAACTGAAGATCTGATCAACTGTAAATTTTACCCTTGGTGAACTAAAGCAATAAAGTTCCTGTTGCAGAATTTCTCTTCTGGTTAATTAGGAACTGGCTGGCCCAGACGGTGTTTGCTACATTGGGATGAATCATTGCTCAGACATTCTTTTCCTTCCCTGTGTTAGAATTATAGGATCTTGCTTAAAAGTACTTCCGTTTTGGGATAAAACGTATTTGATATATTCTTAGGATATAGGACTGGAATCAGAGAAGCTGGATTCAGCCACAGAGATATTATCCATGTCTTTGGGTCAATTATGATTTCAATTCAAACAGGTTGGCTCATGCAGGAATTACATTGGAGAAAAGGTTACCGTGGATGCTACTTCAAATCGTCCGGAGAAAAGACAAATAAATGTAACACATAAATACATCAAATAAAAATTGGCTCTTACAAAAAAATAATAATAATTTGAAAGCAGGCTATAGATCCCAGCAATTGTAACACCTAGTCAGAAGGCTCGTAGGATATAATCGAATAATAGAGTTGGATGGGAGGTCTTCTTATCAGTGGTGGGATTCAATTTTTTTTTTTACTTCTGGTTCTGTGGGCGTGGCTTGGTGGGCGTGGCAGGGGAAGGATACTGCAAAATCTCTATTCCTTCCCCACCCCACTAACCTGCTTTCCAGCTCCGTTCTCCTGTGCAGGGCAACCAAAGAAGATCCGTCCGATCAGCTGGGACTCAATGGGAGGCAGAGAAGAGATGGGGGCAGGGGCAGTCAGAGCTGGTATTTGCCGGCTCTCCGAACTGCTCAAAATTTCCGCTACCGGTTCTCCAGAACTGGTCAGAACCTGCAGAATGTCACCTCTGCTTCTTATCCAACCCCCCCCGCCCAAGCAGGAGACCCTATACCGTTCCAGACAAGTGACCATCCAGTCTCTTCTTGATGGAGCCCCTGCAATGACCTATTTTAATTTCCCAAGTTGGAAATCATGTAGGAATTCTCTATAAATAGCTACGAACTTCTTCATCCTGAGATATAAGCATATATGGAGAGAGAGAGAGTGATGAGCCTTCCTTTCTTCTTCCCACAGGCCACCAAAGCTCACATCAAACTCAACACCAAGAAGCTTTACCAAGCCGATGGCTACGCTGTGAAGGAGCTGCTGAAGATCACCACGGTCCTGTACAACGCCATGAAGAGCAAAGGGATGGAAAGCACGGCTACGGGTGAAGAAGACGTCGGCAAATTCAAATTTGATCTGGGTTCCAGAGTGAGGAACTTTGAATTTCTTCTATTATGCGCGGAGTCTCGCCTTTCCTCTTGAGGCTTAAAGCATCATTTAAGTGATACCTAGAATCTTTTAAAAAATGGATTCCATATAATCCTACATATAATCTTTGAAGTATGCATAGCTTGCCTTTCCACCCACCTATCCACAAGTTCACACAACCTTTGTTTAAAGAAGACACTGTTTTTGTTTTAAAAGGCTGATTTACCCCTCATTTGGAGTAAATCAACTGTGAGTGCAATTGTAGAACTGCAAGAATGGGAGAAGATACAGTATTCTGCTTCCAAAGCTACTGACAGAAAATCCAGTGAACATACTGACCTGGATTTATGCATTGCGCTAAACATAGATTATTGACTAAATCATGATTGCTTGGGTTTGGAATTGGGCTACATCATGAATAGTAGCATATACACCACAATAGTGTGATTGACACACCATGATAAGCCAAATTTGAAAAAAAAAAAGCGTTCTATAATACCATGTTTCCCTTATTGAAAATAAGACAGGGTCTTCTGTTAATTTTTGCTCCAAAAGAGGCGTTAGGGCTTATTTTCCAGTTAGGTCTTACTTTCGGGGAAATACGGCACTAAATGTGTCTGGCTGACAATCTTAACTGGGGCTTATTTTGGAGGTAGGGCTTATATTACAAGCATCCTGAAATTTTTGCTAGAGCTTATTTTCCAGTTGGGTCTTATTTTCAGGGAAACACGGTTATGTGGTCTGTTCAGCCTTCCTCCACCTGGTAGCCCTCTAGATGGGTGGACAACTCCTAGAATTCCTTAATCCAGCATGAGTATTATTGAGAATTCTGGGAGTTAGTTTAGTTAGTTAGTTAGTTAGTTAGTTAGTTAGCTTGGAAAGACAGTAGGCATATTCGAAGATGTGTGCATTAGGTAGATGTATGTTGACCTGTACAAGAAGAAAGTGATCTGGTAGATGGAAACATCTGGAAAAGTTGTGAGAATTGGCTTTAATGTATGCAAGCATTCTTTCCTCACTGAGGAAAGCCAATTGTGTTTTCTGTGAATGGTATTCTGTAGAGCCGGGGTGTCAAACTCACGTCATCACAGCACATCACATGACCTATTGGGACTTTCCCCCCCTTCGCTAAACTGGGCATTGGTGTGGCCAGCATGTGACGCATCCAGCCCACGGGCTGGAGTTTGACAGGCCTGATGTAGGGCAAATAGCATCTATGGTGAACTTGGTAAGAAGGGGATACGGTCCTCCTCCCATCCAGACCAGGAGCATCTTCCAGCTTGGAATTTTTCCCCTTCAAAATCGAATCTTTTCCCTTCAAAACTGAAAAGGTCAGCGAAAGCAACGTAACTGCACAGCTCACAACTCTCCAACACATGAACAAATAAATTATTCAGATCCATTGAAGCCCGTGCACAAATTATTACGGTTATTGATCTGCTTGGAGATGGGCACTTCCAAAGAGTCTCCCATCTCAATATATGGCTTTAGTCAGAAGAATTCCCTCTCCACTCCTCTCTAACTAACCCCTTAAACTCTGATTTCTCCAAATATCCGTTTAGATCAGTGATTTGAAGACAGCCAGGCAGCTCGCTTCAGAGATCACTTCGAAAGGAGCGTCTCTGTATGACTTGTTGGGCAAAGAAGTGACGCTGAGGGTAAGTCTACAAAGAAACATTTCCGCTGTCCCTTACTTGCACCCAAAACCGGTTTTCTATGTTTAATATTTCCAGGCGCGCGGGATGCTCAAAACGCGGCTACGTTTTCAGTAACAAATCTGTGAATATCAATTCTCCTGATTGTTGTCCCAAAGGTGCTTTTTTTTCCCCAAAAGGCATTTTGGATTTTCTTGGTGTTTTCCTTTGAAAATGTTTCACTTCTCATCCAAGAAGCTTCTTCAGTTCTTCAGAAGGCTTAGGGGTGACATGATAGCAGGGTTCCCATATTGGAGAGGCTGCCACAAAGAACAGGGGCGGGGCAGGAGCGGAGGGCCAACCTATTTTACAAAGCACCTGAAGGCAGGACAAGAAGCAACGGATGGAAACTAATCAAGGAGAGAAGCAACCCAGAACTAAGAAGGAATTTCCCGACAGCGGGAACAATTCTCCAGTGGAATGGCTTGCCTTCAGAAGTTGTGGGTGCTCCTGGAAGTAGCAAAGGACCAGCCCGCAGTGCCTTTGCCAGCAAAAATGGAGCTTGGGAGGGCCACACACAGGTCCTCCCAACCTCCATGTTCTCTGGCAGAGGTTGAAGGATGCCGTCGTCGCCGAAAACGGAGGTCAGGAGCCCATTGTGGCTGGCAGAGCACTTAGGCCATGACAAGCGCATCCAACACAAGTGGCGTCGAGCTGCCCACTCCCACCCGGGGCCCCCCGAGGTCCAACGCAACCCTGATACGTCCCTCAATGACGTCGAGTTTGACACCCCTGGTATAGAGTTTCCTGATTAAGCTGTGGGTTGGACTAGAAGACCTCCAAGGTCCCTTCCAACTCTTGTTATTCTGTTAAAGAAAAAGGACCAAGAAAATCCAGCTGCCTTTTGGGAAAAAGCACCTTTTTCAACCATGACCTGGATGATTGAGAATCAGACAACAGATCATCAGAGTTGGAAAGGGACCTTGTAGGTCATCTAGTCCAACCCATTGCCCAAGTGGGTGACCCTACACCATTTCTGACAAATCTGAGTCCAGTGTCTTCTTGAAAGTTTCCAGGGATGAAGCTCCCACAACTTCTGAAGGCAACTCCTGTTCTCTTGGTTGATTGTTCTCAGTGTCAGAAAATTCCTCCTTATTTCCAGGTTGAATCTCTCCTTGGTCAGCTTCCATCCATTGTTCCTTGTCTGGCCTTCAAGTGCTTTGGAAAATAGCTTGACCCCTTCCTCCTCTCTGTGGCAGCCCCTCACATATTGGAAGACTGTTAGCTATCATGTCTCCCCTGGTCTCCATAGCTTCTCCTTATTGTTCTGTTGCTGTCCACCTTTCTAACTCTGTCCATTTTCAAGCAACATGGGTTTCCTCCTGCCTCTCCTAAACTTCACCCTTCTAGATCCTGTGCTGAAGAGTAGAGATGTACAGGATGGGGGATTCTGGGGGTTGTAGTCCACACATCTAAAACTTTTCAAGGCTGAGGAAATTCTGCTCTGGTGGGAAAAGAAGATCCTTTTCTGTCTCAAGAAGACCAGATGTTCCTTCTGCCTCATTAGGGTCAACAAGACATTTTTGAAGATAAAGCACACAGATCTGTTGTGTGAAAATAGCTGAGAAGGATTGAACAAGCTTTTTTTTTTTAATGTTCTCTTCCTAATGATCAGTGCCTTTTTTCCCCCTCCTTCTGCATTCTGGGCAATTAATTAAAAAGAAGACGTGGAGCTCCTACCAAGGCAGGGATGTTCAAACAGAGCTATTATTGTTCTCTGTTAAACTTCTGTTAACTGATTTAGTCTTCGGCAGCCCCAGGCATGGTCCTATTAACAAAAATCCATGGAATGCATCTTGGGGATAATCCTGTAAATATTAAAGACTTCCATCTCATAATCTTTGTTGGGCAGGTCAGGAGGAGTTTTCCTGCTCTTTGCATTTCCTTGAGAAATAAATTACTTTCTTTTTCTGCTGGGAGGAAAATAAATATATGTAGTTGGAGATATTTCTCATTTGTATAGGCACTCAACCTTGTCTTCCATCGATGTTCTAGATCATTAAAGTCTGGGGCTTTTATTTTTGTCTCCATCAGAGCCTTTGCATATCAATTGATTTCCCGCAAGAGACATCATGCCCATTATGGAATAATAATGTAATTAAATTGTCATTTTTCATCTGAGACAGCGCAAGAGTAGAATATTCGATGCCCAGGTTTCAGATGTTTTGAAATCCAGGGAGGGCATCTGTGGCAGGTTTTACACCAAGGTTTGATTGATTCTCGGAAGAGCTTAGAAGGGTGCAACTTAGCTACAGGTTGTCCTCAGCTTACAACAGTGACCGTTCAAAGTTACAACAGCCTTAGTTTTACATTTTGATTGAGTTATGAAATATTGTAAAATCCAAATACAAAAGTAAATAGAAAGTAGGGAAGAAAAGGGGGAAGAAAAGTGAGGAAGGATAAGAAGAAAAGAAAAAGAAACATTCCGACTCTATAGTTTATATTTTATAACTCAGTCAAAATGTTAAACTAGGAACATCCCTGAAAAAAGGGACTTCTGACCATTTTTCACATTTACGACCGCTGCAGCATCCCCATGGACATGTGATCAAAATTCAGACACCAGGCAACTGACTCATATTTATGACGGTTGCAGTGTCCCAGGGGGAGTCATTTACAACCTTCTGGCAAGCAAAATTAATAGGAAGCCAGATTCACTTAACGACTGTGTTGCCAGCTTAACAACTGCAGATATTTACTTAACAACCGTGCAAAGAAAAGTGGAAAAACTCACTTAACAGCTGCCTCACTTAGCAAGGGAAATATAGAGCTCAGTTGTGGTCGTAAGTCGAGGCCTACCTGCATTCTGTATGCAGGGACGTGTTCTGTCTCTATATCAGTCTTTCTCAAATTGTGGTCTGCTAGAAGTACCCTGTTTCCCTGAAAATAAGACCCAACCGGAAAATAAGTCCCAATGTGTCTTTTGGAGCAAAAATTAATAGAAGACCCTGTCTTATTTTTGAGGAAACACGGTATTGGGATTAATAGATTTTGTTTTTTCACCTGTCAGTGTGATTTTAGCTTTTAAGGCTTTCAATTCCCAAGGGGTCTGTCTCTGAGATGTCTTCACACAGGGTTTCCTCTTCTTGTTTGCCTTGAAGGTTTGACTTTGAGTAATATGAAGTCTTTGGATCTAGAAGTTATGTTTGGTTCTCAGGCTAGTCATTCATTATGGACTTAGGTTAGTCTTTCATGGTTGGGAACGGTGTATTTGGAAGGTGCCAACTTGTGACAGATTGAAATGTAATCCTTTAAAAGAGATAAAAGGCTAAAATTTTCATGAGCCCCGAGCAGTGAGATGTTGGCTGCTTCTCTCTGGACTTGCAGCAAAGAAAGTACATCTTTTCCCTCCTCCTTCTCTGCAGTCGATCAGTGAGAGAGAGAAAAAAAACCTGTTAGAAACATGAAAAATCGCCTCCATTAAAAGAGCACATCTGGCTGGTTGGCTTCCGTGGCGTCGGCCTGGCATGACCTTGCGAGACTCTTCCCTGTAACATCTCCAGATATCTTAACTGAGCTTGCCAGATTTCAGGCAAAGGACTTTCTTTATGGAATTATTACTCAAATTTATGTGCCATTTGTTTCTAGAGATTCTGAATGATTACTTGTGGCTACTCTGTTCATAGGCTTCTCCTTGCTAGCCCTTTGCAACTCAATTCTTTCTACTAATGCTGTAGAGCAGTGGCCCCCAACCTTTTTTGAACCAGGGACCGGTTTCACGATTATTTATTCTTCCACGGACCGGTACCTGAGTAACGCGAGACTCCACTGCCCTCGGGACGGCTCTTCGTTCGAAGCCGCCCCCCCTCTCTTCAAAGAAACTAAGGCGCAAGCACCCAAACGCCACTTTCAAACTGAAAACCCGGAAGCACTTTCCAACCGAAAACCCGGAAGCAACCGAAAACCTGGAAGCGCCGTCGAAACAAGATGGCGGTGCCCAAGCTTTGTGGCCCAGTAAAAAATGATCCACGGACCGGTACCGGTCCGGGGATTGGTGGTTGGGGACCCCTGCTGTAGAGGATCTCTGTCATGGTTGTCCCCAAGGTGCATTTTCAGGAGGTGCTTCTCCTGAAACTTCTCTCTTTGGAACCGGTCCCTAGTGCCCAAAAGGTCGGAGGCTGCTGCCTTACAGGCCTCCCTAAGCTGTTTACGGAGTCAGCATACTGCCCCCAGCAGTCTGCGTCCTTGTTTTACTGACCTTGGAAGGAGGGAAGGCTGAGTCAACCTTGAGCCGGTCAGGATTGAACTCTCGGCAGTGAGCTGAATTAGACTGTCAGGGTTCCGATGGATGCCCTAATTCATTCACGATCTTTACAAGTTGACAGCAATGCTGCATTCTAACCACTGCACACTATGGAAGGAAGGGGGGGGGCAGGCAACAGCAATAGCACTTACTTATACACCACTTTACAGTGCTTCCCAGCCCTCTCTAAGCGGTTTACAGTGTCAGCCTGTCAACCCCAACAATCTGGCTCCTCATTTTACCCGCCTCAGAAGGACGGAAGGCTGAGTCAACCTTGAGTCAGTCAGGATCGAATTCCTGGCAGTGAGCTGGATTAGGCTGCAATACTGCATTCTTATCACTGCTCACTATAGAAGGAAGGAAGGAAGGAAGGAAGGAAGGAAGGAAGGAAGGAAGGAAGGAAGGAAGGAAGGAAGGAAGGAAGGAAGGAAGGAAGGAAAATAACAATAGCACTTAGACTTATACACCGCTTTACAGTGCTTTATAGCTCTCTCTAAGTCGTTTACAGTGTCAGCCTGTCGACCCCAACAATCTGGGTCCTCATTTTACCAACCTTGGAAGGATGGAAGTCTGAACTGAGCCTCGTCAGAATCAAACTCCAGAGTGTGGACAGAGTTTGCCTGCAGTATTAATGCCTTCCAACCACTGCGCCACCGGGGCTCAGGTTTACGGAATACAGTTCTCATGTGCTAGTGGTTTTGTTGGCAACTTGCCATCGAAG